ATGGTGGTTGCTGGAAGTGGAGAAGGGGGAATATGGAGCTGCTGTTCACAAATAGAAAGCTTCAGTTGCACAAGATGACTACGTGCCAGAGACCTGCTGTACAGCACTTGCCTGTGGTCAACAAAACCATATTGTGCGCTTACAGATTGGTTAAGAGGGTAGATCTTGTGTTAAGTGTTCTTACCACAATAAAAAGTGATGTGCACTGCTGGGTATGTATAGGCATATTGTATGTTTCAATTAGTTCTACTGATTTATATTTATACATAATGTACAATTTATATACAATCACTTCTACTCAGTTTATGGTAACAGTTAAATGAATGCAGTCATGTAACTGCCACAACTGAGAGAACACTTTTGTTCTTCATGCTACTTTGCAGTCACCTCCCTCCCACCCTTAACAGCCAATGCAGTGCTTTCTTCTACAGGTTTGCCTTTCCTAGGATTTCCTATGCACTATGGAGCACTGAGTCTGACTCCTTTCACTCAGCATAATGATTTTGAGATTTATCCTCGTTGTTGTATTGGGAGTTTGTTTCCTTTTATTGCTGAAAAAGTATTCTATTGTATGGATATTCCACAATTTATGTACTCATTCACATGTTTATGGACACCTGGGTTGTTTCCCCTCTGAATGCCTCTTATAAATAAACCTGCTGTGAACATTCAACATGAAGGCTTTGGATGAACATGTTTTCACTATTCTTTGGTAAACACCTAGGAGTGGGGTTTCCAGGCTGTGTGATAAGTGTATATCTCACTTTATAGAAGAACAGCCACATTGTTTTCCAAATGGCTATTTTACATTTCTGCCAGTAACTTGTGGTAGAATGTGGTAACTTTTCAGTTCATGTTTTAAAGTTTGTACTAGACATATGTATGCATAAATAATATGTAGTATGGATTTGTCTTATACACAAATGTACTATCCTGCAACTTGTATTTTTTAGTCAATATTTTGAGATCTGTCCATGTTGTTGTATAGAACAGATTTAATTTTGTATAGTGTTCCATTGTCTAAATACATTACAATTTTTAATCCATGGATCATTTGTTTTCAGTTCTGTGAATTGCCTGTTTATATCCTTTGTCTATATTTTTTTGATCACTGCTCCTTTTATTTCTAGGATTTCTTTATATAATTTTTATTTTTATTTGTTGACTGCATTAGGTTACAAATAATTTTTCCTAATCTGTGGCTTACCTTTTAGTTTTATTTATGCTGCCTTACATTGTACAGAAGTTTTCAGTTTTGATGCAAATATATCAATCTTTTCTTAGTCCTTTTTGCTTTTCTATTGTACATTGAGGTTACAAAGAGATTCTACGTGTTCTTTAAAAACATTGATGTTTTGCTTTTTTACATTTTTATCTGGGATGTAGTTTATTTAATAGTATAAAGTAGTGATGTACCTTAATGTTTTTTCCAAATGCAAAACTCAGTTGTCCATGACCACTTTTGAAGGTCTGTGTACTAGTTCCCTAGGGCTGCTATAACAAAGTACCACAAACTGGGTGGCATAAAACAATAGAAAGCTATTCTTTCACAGTTCTGGTGACTAGAAATCTGAAATCCAGGTGTCATAAGGATCATGCTTTCTGAAGGCTCCTGGGAGAATCTGTCCCAAGGCTTTCTCTTAGCTTCTGGTGGTGACTGTTGATCACTGATGTTCTTTGGCTTGCTGCTGCATAACTCCAATCTCAATCCATTGCCACCTGGCATTCTCCGTTTGTGTGTCTGGGTCTCGTGTTTTTCCTCCTCTTTGGAGCTGGCTCATCCATAGACCTTCTTGGCCCTGCTCCGCCTGACCTTTCAGGCCCAGCCTGCTCACCCAAAAACCAGTGCAGGCTGAGCATGGTATATACTGAGACTCCCAATGGATCCCCACCCTTTTGTTTTTATTGCCTTCTTCACTGGCTAGAACATCTGAGATATTGTTGACTAGAATTGGTGAGTAGACATCTTTGTCTTCCCAATCTTAGGAGGAAGGTGCTCTTTATTTCACCACAAAGTATGATGTCAGATGTAGGTTCTCCCATAGATGCCCTTTATTAGATTGAGGATAGTTCCTTTAATTCCTAGTCAATTGAGAGTTTTTAATCATGAATGAGTGTTGAATTTTTTCAAATGTTTTTTCTACATTAAAAAAAGTTATAAGACAGATTAGAGAGAAGGGAAAAAGAAATACTACATGAGTTGTAAACTTTTGTTTGCTTTCACACTATGACAGCTGTTCACCAGTGAAGGGATTACATTTATAAATCTACCTTGAAAATAATTAATGGTCATATACAGGATCCAATAACCAAATTTTTAATATAAAATACTGTATACTTGGAAAGAGGGGAGAAATTTAAAGGAAATGAATCATTCATTTTATGTGTATTTTTTAAAAAACTTTATATTAAAAGTATAAATGTGATCTCATGAACATAAAAATAGTTATAAAATGAGAAAAAAGTAGAAAGGCAAGAAAAAAGCAAAATAACAAAAAGTATTATATGGTTTTTCTTTTATATAGTGTATAATATGATAAAATACATTGATTTTGAATGCTAAAGCAACCTTGCATTTCTAGGATAAACCCTACTTGATCATGACATGTTACCATCTTTTTATAGATTGTTTCAATTTGCTATTTAAAAATTTTTTTTCCATCTTTGTTCATGAGAGATCTTGATATATGATTTTCCTTTCTTGCGATGTCTCTGTTTGGCTTTGGTATGTAGGTAATGCTGGCTCACAAAATGAGTTGGAAAGCGCTTCTTCCTGGGAGAGTTTGTGTAGAATTATTATTATATTTTCCTTATATTGGTTGGTAGAATTCACTTGTACCATCTGGGTCTGTACTTTTTTGTCAGCTACAGATTCAATTTTATTTAATAGGGCTATTTAAATTTTCTCTTCTTGAGTGAGCTTTGGTAGTTTGTGCCTTTTCAAGGACTTTTTCAATTTCATCATGTTGAATTTATTGGCATAAAGTTGTTAATAAAATTCCATACTGCTTTATCTACCTCCCACAAAATTTGATATATTCATTTAGCTAAAAATATTTACAAATTTTTCTCATTACTTTTTCTCTAACCCAAAGCTCATTTAGGAGTATGTTATTTAATTTCCAAATATTTGGTGATTGTTCTGATATCTGTTAGTGATTTCTAATATGTTCTGTTGGTTGAACATATCTTGTATGATTTCCATTCTTTTAAATCTTTTGAAACTTGTTTTATAGCCCAAAATATGTGGACTTGAAAAGAATATGTATTATGCTGTTGTTGGGTGTTCTATAAATATCAGTTAATTGAAAACCTTATATATCCGTGTCTTGTCCAGTGTAAATAAAGCTGCAATGAACATTGGAGCACATATATTTTGACAGATAAGTGTTTTCAGACTTTTGAGGTATATACCAGGAGAGGGATTGCTGGGTCATCGATAGATGATTGGATAAAGAAGATGTGGTATATATACACAATGGAATACTACTCTGCCATAAGAAAAGATAAAATAATGCCATTTGTGACAAAATGGATGGATCATGAGCTTATTATGCTAAATAAAATAAGTCACACAGAAAAAGGCGGGACCCATATGATTTTACTGATATGTGGGATACAAAACTGAAAGCAACAAAGGAATAAGACAAACAAATAAACAAAAACTCACAGACACAGACAACAGTTCAGTGGCTACCAGAGGGTATGGGGGGAGGAGGGTAGGTGAGGGTAAACGAGGTCAAATATATGGTGATGGAAGAACTGACTCTGGGTAGTGAACACACAATGTGATATATAGATGCTGTATTACAGAATTGTACACTTGAAACATATGTAATTTTACTAGCCATTTGTCACCCCTTATAAATTTTAATTAAAAAAGAAAATATTTTTAAAATTTAATGTTTTTAAGTTTTCTTTTAAATTTTTTAAAAAAATTTTTATTGGGGAATTGGGGGAGGGAAACAGCATTGGGGAATCGGGGAAGGGGAACAGACAAGTTGCTGTCCTTTTGTTCTTCAGTCTAGTTGTGGAGGACGTCGCTTCACTGGCCCACATGGGTATTATCATTGCACTCTTCCTGGGTGAGGCAGTCACTCGCTCGCCACTGGATGGCCATTCACGGCAGCTCACGCCCACTGCCGGCCAGCCCCACTGCAGCCTACGCTGTTGCTGGCGACTCATGGCAGCCCAGCTCCAGGTCGAGCTGTTGTTCACCATCTTAGCTCTACAGGGTGCAGCGTTACTGGCCCTCATATGTGGGATCTGAACCTGGGCCCTGCTGCTCAGAGCTGGTGTCCCAAGCCAACTAATTCCTAACCAATGTGCCACGCGGCTGGCCCTATAAAAATTTTAAAGGATATTATTCACATAATGGTGATTATATAAAAATATATTTGTGGCTCTCGAATAATTTTTAAATTGTTGTGAGGGACAGGATTGGCTCTTCCTTTTGAGACAGAACGTACCCAGAGAGCCATATGTGGCTCGTGAGCTGCACGTGGCTTGTGAGCCGCAGTTTGCTGACCCCTCGTTTAGAACATGGGTGGTGAAGGAAATTAAGGAAATGAGAGGGAAGTGTTTAGAGAGGAACTGAATTCATTTAAATGTTTCAACTTCATTTGACATGTTTTAACACCATGTAGGTAACCTACTTGGCTTTAGTTTGGGGGAGTCATATGAGATGGTGATATCTGGAAGAATCCCAACAGACTAGCTGCATCTAGGAAAAAGAACTATAGTACTTATGTTTCTGAGCAGTTGCTTTGGGAGGAGAAGGGCATTCAACATCCTATAAAATGGTGTATGAGGTGTACTACATGAGTAGCTCTTCTCCACCTTCTCGTTGTGTGGCTGCAGACTGTTGTACATTTTTGCAATAAAAACAACTTTCCATGTCCACTATATCTCCAACCACCCCTCAGCCTAAAATCAACAATTATAGTTTAGACAGGGCTACTCATGGCTAGAAGGAAATATGAAAAACACAAGGCACTTAATTTGAAGAGAAATCAGAATTCAGATTTCTTAGAGATTGTGAACAAAGGGAAACATGTTCTGCTTGGATAAATATAAAGTTCTTGCAGTTACAAATGCTGTGTGGGCTATGTAATTGTAACACTGGCTGAACTACAAAGTACAGATGTTTTCACTCTACCCAACTAAGGAACTAGAACAATCAATTCATTGTATAGTCTAACAAAGTTCTTGTTACTTCAAATACTTTAAGTGAATGCATGGTTTTCAGCGAGGGAGCCTATCTGAATAACTCTTCTTTCTCCCCTGCACTGAATATCAAGAGTGATGTTAAAAATACTTAAGTCTTTAGGGGACAAGCATGTGACTGAAGACCTCGCTAATGGGGATCTTTCCTGTGCACTCGTTGATGAATGTGGAGGTTGGAGCTCTGGCTGAAGCCTTTCCCACACTTGCTGCACTCATAAGGCTTCTCTCCAGTGTGCACTCTCTGGTGGATGAGGAGTTTGGAGCTCTGGCTGAAGCCCTTCCCACACTTGCCACAGTGATAGGGCTTCTCTCCAGTATGAACTCTGAGATGGATGCGGAGATCTGAGCTCTGGCTGAAGCCCTTCCCACACTCATAGCACTGGTAAGGTTTCTCCCCCGTGTGTATGCATCGGTGAATGTGAAGGTTTGAACTCTGACTGAAGCCCTTTCCGCACTCTCCACACTTGTAAGGTCTCTCTCCTGTGTGGACTCGCTGGTGGATGTGCAGGTTAGAGCGCTGACTGAAGCTCATTCCACACTCCCCACACTCGTAGGGCTTCTCGCCAGTGTGCACTCGCTGGTGGATATGCAGTTTGGAGCTCTGACTAAAGCCCTTCCCACACTTGTCACATTTATAAGGTTTCTCGCCCGTATGGACTGCGTGATGAATGAGCAGACTTGAACTCCTCGTGAAGCCCTTCCCACACTTGTCACACTTATAAGGTTTCTCATCTGTGTGGATTGCTCGATGGATGAGGAGACTTGAACTCCTTGTGAAGCCCTTCCCACACTGTTCACATTTGTAGGGCTTTTCTTCTGTGTGGTCTCTCTGATGAAGTAGTAGTTCTGAGCTCTCACTGAAGTCCTTACCACACTGACTGCATTGGTGTTTCTCTGCAGTGTGGATTTTCTCACGTGGATGACTATCTGAGCTGGGGTTAGGTGTTTTCCCACAGTCATAATGGTTACAGACACGCTCCTCCCTATGAGCTCTCTGATGGGTGACCACCCGAGATTCCCAACCATAAATGTCTTTGCGGTTACAGTCAAAGGGATCTAAGGATTCTTTTGATTGACCATTCTGGCAAATTGCTCCACCACTGAACAACGGTGAGACCAGTTCTGTTACATCAGACATAAGTTTAATATGATGGTTCTCTGAACAATGGTCTATGGGAGGACTTTTCCCCCCTATCAATTTTCTTTCAGTGGTTTTTTCAGTTACAAGCAGACTTTTGCTTTCCTGAGGATCCTGGGGCTCATTCTTACAGAATGTCACTGGGGAGTCCTGTGTGGTCATATGGCTCCGAACTTTCAATGACAAATAATCTTCACTTTCCATGTTTTTGAAATCATCACTTTGAAGGGTCACCCCACTGCTCTTGTTTCTGGAAATGTGAGAAGATGCTTCTTCCCACTTTTGACAAGGAGAAAGATCTAGTTCAGGGTTCCTGTACATTTCCCCTTGAAGTTTCACAATATAATCCTGACTCCCAGTTATTGTACTGGCCAACTCTTCCCAAGTTAGCAAGCAGGAAAGCTCTTCACGTAACAAATCCCTGTCTTTTCTCCTGAAGCTTCTCCACAGAATTGTCATTCAAGTCTCCTAGGGAACAAAGAATTCAGTGATAAGAACAAACTAAGGGTAGATTCCAAGATTTCAGAACTGGAGTGCCTAAGTCCTGAAGACTCAGTAACTAGGAAAAAGTTCAGTCTTGTCTGTATAGTCATATCCTTTAGGTTAATGTCAGAAAGAGAGAAGGCTTGGGTACACACAGCAGAAATCTTGTCTCTGCTTTTAAGCATAGCCAATAAAAGTATTCCTCCCCTAACTCTGCAGAAGGCTATGAATCCCACATCCTCGCCACAAATTACACTAATTTAACTTTACTTCATTTTAATTAAATTTGCATTTAATTGGTAATACACTCTAATAGATGCTGGGGATACAAGGAAGAAAACAAATCCTTCTGCTTAACAAGCTAGAGCCTACTTGGAAGAAAGACAAATATATCAACAATGATAACATCACCTTACTGCTACAGTAGATGCAGGCACAACCAGATATGGGAAAACAGAGTAGGGGCATTCGACCCAAACCTGAGGGCAAATGTAAGGAAACAAAAAAGTGAAATGTGGAGACAAAATATGACATGTTCAGGAAAAGTATAAACAGCATCTTGTGAAGGATATAAAGCAGGTAACAGTGGTGAAAAGTATGTCCTGGACAGGAAGGCAGGAGCCAGAACAAAGGGCTTGGTAAACACTCAGGGATTTAAAGATATTAAAGGGGTCGGCTGAGTGGCGCGTTGGTTAAGAGCTGGCTTGGGACGCCAGAGCGCCCAGGTTTGGATCCCACATATGAGGGCCAGTGACACTGCCCTCTACAGCTAAGATGCTGAACAACAGCTCAACCTGGAGCTGGGCTGCTGTGAGTCGCCGNCTGTCCTTTTGTTCTTCAGTCTAGTTGTGGAGGACATTGCTTCACTGGCCCATGTTGGTATTATCATTGTGCTCTTCCTGGGTGAGGCAGTCGCTTGCCCGCCATTGGAGGGTGGCTCACGGCGGCTCACAGAAGCTCACGAAAGCTCACGCCTGCTGCAGGCCAGCCCCACTGCAACCTACGCCATCGCCGGCGACTCATGGCAGCCCAGCTCCAGGTCGAGCTGTTGTTCACCATGTTAGCTGTAGAGGGCTCAGCATCATTGGCCCTCATGTGGGATCCGAACTGGGGCCCTGCTGCTCAGAGCTGGTGTCCCAAGCCAACTAACTCCTAACCAACAAGCCACTCGGCTGACCCTAAAAAAAGAAAATCTTATATATTCTTACTGATCTTTGACCCACTTGTGCTATGGATTACTTAAGTGTTGAAATATCTAATTGAAAATTTGCCTATATCTATTTCAATTTTATCTGTTTTTATTTCATGAATTTTGAACCTGTAAGTGTACTGGAGCTAGGAGATATTTGCTTTACTGTTGGATTCCTAAATGCCACGATACAGAGGTCTCCCTTGAGGCCAGTTTCTGCAGAGAAAACTTCCCATCTCTTGCTGGAGGGTAAATACCTGGCTGACAGTGCACAGGGGTTGGGGAAGAGGGTATGTGTGTATGGGATGAGGGCAATGTTCCATATACAGCTGATCATTTCACTGTTTTCCCTCCATGTCTTACTCTCATCCTCATTGGGCATTTCTGTGACTGATAAGAAACTGATTGCTTCTTATCCTTATCTTCATATATAAGCAGTATAAATTGTGCCTGCTGCTGCTCTAATACAATAGCTATCCTTCCATCTTTCAAATTTTTATTGAGAACATTCTCCTGTTCTCTTTATTGCTGTTTTATAAGTTAAAATTTTATTTCCCACCATTTTAATTGCTGTACAGGGAGATCAGACATGTTTAACAAAAGCACATTTCCTAGACCTTTCTCTGCCAGCCATTTTGCTTAGTTGACCAAACCCTGACATTTTTGTAGACCCGGCTGATCAGTTGCCACATACTCCTTACATATTAGCTTTTCCCAGCTCTACCTCTTGTACCTACTTGTTGGTATTACCTGCTCTCAGGTACCAACCTAATGCCAGTTTTATTCTGGCGACACTTTGGGCATGATTCTTTGGACTGTCCTTTGCTTTCATTATCTAGGGTTAGCCTTGCACTCCATGCTCAGTTATGACCCTTTTGCACCAATGAAATTAAAATGAGGAAGGTTATGGGAGCTGCAAAATGAACTAATATGTTTCTGTCCCCTAACTCTGGATGTCAGAGTAGGAGGTGGGGAAGGACAAATTAAAAAGGCTCTACTTTGGAACTGTACGAGTATTTTGACCTAAAGATATTAAACAATTGATATAGAAAACAAATACCACTCTTGAATAGGTAAGAATTCTAAGAATTGTAAAAGCTTGTCTCAGGTATTCAACAAATAATCTGTAAATTAGATCCTTTGCCAAGTTAGTGATAGAATTATCAATTGAGTATAATGATTACTGAAACTACCCAAAGGTTCAACTCAACAAATACTGGTACAACATCAAGCCTAGGACAACACTTGAATTTTGAAAAGGATTGTTTTCAGCAACCTGAATACATTTTTTTTCTCATTTTCACATCTCTGAAATTGGGGTATATCTGAAAAATCAAACAGAAGCGTTCTTTTTCACAACATGGTATGTAAAGATCTGATAAAATGTGACATATCCTGTTCCTCCTGCATCTTCATGCAGCAGCCCTTCTTTTTCTAATTTATTGGTTTCTCCAAACTTCCCATAATCAGTGAAATGCTCCCCAAGGACTCTGATCATATTTCAATGGTATTAAGGAAGGTAATGCTTAAAGGAGAAGAGTAAACACTAAACATTGTTAAAAACAGTGATAACATGTATAAAAGGAAATCAGGAAAAACAGGCTATTTTATACCCATTTGAGACTTTCTGGGTATAATGGCTCAGTCACTACCCTAATCTTTCCATATAGACAGCTCCATTTTGGAGTCAAATATTCTGAACTATCTCTTGAAGGAGGGCAAATGTCTTAATCTATCACCTCCTTCATTCCTTGTTAGAAATTACCTTTGTTTCCCTTAATGTATACCTTCCCTGTTATTTATGTCCAGTTAACTGCATCAGGTTACCTTTGATCTGGATATGTCAGTTACAACCCTACCATCTCAAGCTAATAAATAAAGCATCCATATTTTCCCTATCTGGTATTTTTCATATGGATACTAATCATTGGAGAAAAACAAATATGGAACACTGGGCAGCCTCCTGAGCACTGCTTGAGTTATCAGTAACCATCATTTAGAAACTCAGGGCTACAATTAAGAGCTCATTGTATTGTAACTTCTGATTTAATCATGTATTTTCAATCACTTTTCTATTCTCAACTGTTGCACAAGCTTCTTGTAGTTACTCCTGGAGGATGACTGCCTTTTTTCAGGTGTCCTAGCTCCACACCCAATCCCACCCATACCCCAAGAGAATTATATATGATGCAATGCACATTTTAGGCCTTATCTCCCTAAACATACTCTCCAAATATGTTTTAAATATTTGTATGTAGCTATTTTTATATAAAGTACTTTTAGAGTTAGATGTCTATAATGAAATATAAAGGGCTGAGGATGCTGCAAAAACAAATGACTTTTTGGGGTACTACAAATATTAAAACAGAGATAAGCCTGAAGTGACAAATATCAGAAACGTTCTCTCCTGACTCCTTTGTTTTGTTTAGTTTAGAATGGGGGTTGGCAAACTTTTGAAACAGAAGAGCTGCCAGGGGTCAGCAAACTGTGGCTCGTGAGCCACAGGCTCTGAACTAAAACTGAATGAAAATAAAACTATCATAGATTCATTTATACATTTTTTTTCTTTTTAAAGATTTTATTGGGGAATTGGGGGAGGGAAACAGCATTGGGGAATCGGGGAAGGGGAACAGACAAGTTGCTGTCCTTTTGTTCTTCAGTCTAGTTGTGGAGGACGTCGCTTCACTGGCCCACATGGGTATTATCATTGCACTCTTCCTGGGTGAGGCAGTCACTCGCTCGCCACTGGATGGCCATTCACGGCAGCTCACGCCCACTGCCGGCCAGCCCCACTGCAGCCTACGCTGTTGCTGGCGACTCATGGCAGCCCAGCTCCAGGTCGAGCTGTTGTTCACCATCTTAGCTCTACAGGGTGCAGCGTTACTGGCCCTCATATGTGGGATCTGAACCTGGGCCCTGCTGCTCAGAGCTGGTGTCCCAAGCCAACTAATTCCTAACCAATGTGCCACGCGGCTGGCCCTATAAAAATTTTAAAGGATATTATTCACATAATGGTGATTATATAAAAATATATTTGTGGCTCTCGAATAATTTTTAAATTGTTGTGAGGGACAGGATTGGCTCTTCCTTTTGAGACAGAACGTACCCAGAGAGCCATATGTGGCTCGTGAGCTGCACGTGGCTTGTGAGCCGCAGTTTGCTGACCCCTCGTTTAGAACATGGGTGGTGAAGGAAATTAAGGAAATGAGAGGGAAGTGTTTAGAGAGGAACTGAATTCATTTAAATGTTTCAACTTCATTTGACATGTTTTAACACCATGTAGGTAACCTACTTGGCTTTAGTTTGGGGGAGTCATATGAGATGGTGATATCTGGAAGAATCCCAACAGACTAGCTGCATCTAGGAAAAAGAACTATAGTACTTATGTTTCTGAGCAGTTGCTTTGGGAGGAGAAGGGCATTCAACATCCTATAAAATGGTGTATGAGGTGTACTACATGAGTAGCTCTTCTCCACCTTCTCGTTGTGTGGCTGCAGACTGTTGTACATTTTTGCAATAAAAACAACTTTCCATGTCCACTATATCTCCAACCACCCCTCAGCCTAAAATCAACAATTATAGTTTAGACAGGGCTACTCATGGCTAGAAGGAAATATGAAAAACACAAGGCACTTAATTTGAAGAGAAATCAGAATTCAGATTTCTTAGAGATTGTGAACAAAGGGAAACATGTTCTGCTTGGATAAATATAAAGTTCTTGCAGTTACAAATGCTGTGTGGGCTATGTAATTGTAACACTGGCTGAACTACAAAGTACAGATGTTTTCACTCTACCCAACTAAGGAACTAGAACAATCAATTCATTGTATAGTCTAACAAAGTTCTTGTTACTTCAAATACTTTAAGTGAATGCATGGTTTTCAGCGAGGGAGCCTATCTGAATAACTCTTCTTTCTCCCCTGCACTGAATATCAAGAGTGATGTTAAAAATACTTAAGTCTTTAGGGGACAAGCATGTGACTGAAGACCTCGCTAATGGGGATCTTTCCTGTGCACTCGTTGATGAATGTGGAGGTTGGAGCTCTGGCTGAAGCCTTTCCCACACTTGCTGCACTCATAAGGCTTCTCTCCAGTGTGCACTCTCTGGTGGATGAGGAGTTTGGAGCTCTGGCTGAAGCCCTTCCCACACTTGCCACAGTGATAGGGCTTCTCTCCAGTATGAACTCTGAGATGGATGCGGAGATCTGAGCTCTGGCTGAAGCCCTTCCCACACTCATAGCACTGGTAAGGTTTCTCCCCCGTGTGTATGCATCGGTGAATGTGAAGGTTTGAACTCTGACTGAAGCCCTTTCCGCACTCTCCACACTTGTAAGGTCTCTCTCCTGTGTGGACTCGCTGGTGGATGTGCAGGTTAGAGCGCTGACTGAAGCTCATTCCACACTCCCCACACTCGTAGGGCTTCTCGCCAGTGTGCACTCGCTGGTGGATATGCAGTTTGGAGCTCTGACTAAAGCCCTTCCCACACTTGTCACATTTATAAGGTTTCTCGCCCGTATGGACTGCGTGATGAATGAGCAGACTTGAACTCCTCGTGAAGCCCTTCCCACACTTGTCACACTTATAAGGTTTCTCATCTGTGTGGATTGCTCGATGGATGAGGAGACTTGAACTCCTTGTGAAGCCCTTCCCACACTGTTCACATTTGTAGGGCTTTTCTTCTGTGTGGTCTCTCTGATGAAGTAGTAGTTCTGAGCTCTCACTGAAGTCCTTACCACACTGACTGCATTGGTGTTTCTCTGCAGTGTGGATTTTCTCACGTGGATGACTATCTGAGCTGGGGTTAGGTGTTTTCCCACAGTCATAATGGTTACAGACACGCTCCTCCCTATGAGCTCTCTGATGGGTGACCACCCGAGATTCCCAACCATAAATGTCTTTGCGGTTACAGTCAAAGGGATCTAAGGATTCTTTTGATTGACCATTCTGGCAAATTGCTCCACCACTGAACAACGGTGAGACCAGTTCTGTTACATCAGACATAAGTTTAATATGATGGTTCTCTGAACAATGGTCTATGGGAGGACTTTTCCCCCCTATCAATTTTCTTTCAGTGGTTTTTTCAGTTACAAGCAGACTTTTGCTTTCCTGAGGATCCTGGGGCTCATTCTTACAGAATGTCACTGGGGAGTCCTGTGTGGTCATATGGCTCCGAACTTTCAATGACAAATAATCTTCACTTTCCATGTTTTTGAAATCATCACTTTGAAGGGTCACCCCACTGCTCTTGTTTCTGGAAATGTGAGAAGATGCTTCTTCCCACTTTTGACAAGGAGAAAGATCTAGTTCAGGGTTCCTGTACATTTCCCCTTGAAGTTTCACAATATAATCCTGACTCCCAGTTATTGTACTGGCCAACTCTTCCCAAGTTAGCAAGCAGGAAAGCTCTTCACGTAACAAATCCCTGTCTTTTCTCCTGAAGCTTCTCCACAGAATTGTCATTCAAGTCTCCTAGGGAACAAAGAATTCAGTGATAAGAACAAACTAAGGGTAGATTCCAAGATTTCAGAACTGGAGTGCCTAAGTCCTGAAGACTCAGTAACTAGGAAAAAGTTCAGTCTTGTCTGTATAGTCATATCCTTTAGGTTAATGTCAGAAAGAGAGAAGGCTTGGGTACACACAGCAGAAATCTTGTCTCTGCTTTTAAGCATAGCCAATAAAAGTATTCCTCCCCTAACTCTGCAGAAGGCTATGAATCCCACATCCTCGCCACAAATTACACTAATTTAACTTTACTTCATTTTAATTAAATTTGCATTTAATTGGTAATACACTCTAATAGATGCTGGGGATACAAGGAAGAAAACAAATCCTTCTGCTTAACAAGCTAGAGCCTACTTGGAAGAAAGACAAATATATCAACAATGATAACATCACCTTACTGCTACAGTAGATGCAGGCACAACCAGATATGGGAAAACAGAGTAGGGGCATTCGACCCAAACCTGAGGGCAAATGTAAGGAAACAAAAAAGTGAAATGTGGAGACAAAATATGACATGTTCAGGAAAAGTATAAACAGCATCTTGTGAAGGATATAAAGCAGGTAACAGTGGTGAAAAGTATGTCCTGGACAGGAAGGCAGGAGCCAGAACAAAGGGCTTGGTAAACACTCAGGGATTTAAAGATATTAAAGGGGTCGGCTGAGTGGCGCGTTGGTTAAGAGCTGGCTTGGGACGCCAGAGCGCCCAGGTTTGGATCCCACATATGAGGGCCAGTGACACTGCCCTCTACAGCTAAGATGCTGAACAACAGCTCAACCTGGAGCTGGGCTGCTGTGAGTCGCCG